CCACAGCTCTCGCTATTAGAATCTGAACTTTTCATGAACAATATTGAAGTTTATTCTTGACCTTGGACAATCAAAAGCCCAAGAATACTTACTAAATGAACATTGTGTTGAGTTTTTTTTTGTTAACTATTCTTTTTGTTTTTATTTTGAAATGACCTGCAGCACATTTTGATTCTGTAACAGTTGGTTTCTTCTTTATCCGTGATATCCCACCAACACTTATATCGTATTTCTCTCTGAGCTCCCATATAAAACCATCAATCACACATTAGTGAGCATCACTGCTGCACTGGGTGACAGGTTCTTTTACTACCACGAACCTAGATTATTCTGAGTCAGTCCCACGAACACCCTCCTGGCGCTGAGAGCCACAGTCAGGGAAGCCAAAAAGGGTTGAGAAATGAACTAATATTTTGTTTTTGGTCTTTTGGGATTTACTGACAGTATTAAAAATATGGTATAATGCCAGCCTTATCTTTGAACACAGTAAACAACAGTTAATTTGTTTTGTAGTTTCGGGTTTAAACTGTGCTGTTAGAAAACATCTAGCAGGTCTTTGGGTAGAGGGAAACTGGGTCATTTTAAGGCTGCTTGAAACTGAAGAACATTATTACATATTTTTTTAAAAAGGTTTCCCATTCCCGCCTAGACAAATAGAGTGAACTGAAAGACGTACTGCTAATCAGGCAGATCTCAAGGTTGGAATTTGTTTCCTTGCAAATGTCTGAATGATTTTGAATTAGGGCTTTTTACTTCTGGATCCTGAGTTCTAGTTTGGCTTCAGCTCTTGATACTTTGCCTGTTCTGTGTTTGCTTCGTACTTCTCTGTAATGGCAAAACCTGACATACTTCTTACCTCTTCCATCAATCCCCACCTCCCTTCAATCAATCACATGATTTGAACTACGCATTGGCTGTGTTGAAGAAAAATCATTCCAGTCCAGTTCAGGTTTGGAACTGTTTTACAGGTGTTAGCCTACCCTCGTTAATATAAATAGGATGGACAAAATAATGTTCAAAGTCCATTCCTGATCCTGGAAACTTTCTGTAACTACTGTTTTCAAGGTCAAGAATGAACTCTGAGCCTCAGTAAATGTAGCATTCAATTACTACACACAGAATAACCATGATGTGACTACAAAAATAAAATAAAATAAAATAAATAATAATAAAATAATGTATATCTCTAGGTGGAGCCACCACACAACATTGATTACTGCAGCAAATGAATAAGTGACCCCAGGCATTGCACGTGTTTAATTATAGAAAATAACTGCATCAAGCATTGCTGGTGTTGTATGTTGTATGTTGTATTGAGGTCGGTGCCACAACGCATACATAAGCATTCATCAGCAAATAGCAACCTGGTCTAGTATGATCAGTACTTGATCATGCATACGGTACAGGCAAAAATAAAACAGGTATTAACTCATGTGTTCAAATAATAATGGTAGTGTGTGTGCATGTCACCACTTCTTTTTTCTACAGCTGCTTTAAGAATCCTGGAAGTAGTGTTGAAAACATGAACTCCGAATGTAAACACACCTAAAGCTTACGGCAACACACAGATCGATGATTTTGTATCCTGTAGTAG